GGTTCGGTCCCTGGCCTCCGGGAAGCGGCGCCATGGTTCCGATTCAGCGTACACATGGTACTCCTTCTGGCGATGTATATCGATGTGTTTATGTTTATGGATATGGATAAGCAGGGTAGGGAGTATGTCGAGTATGGGTTGACCATACACCATCAGTACTTCCTCAACCCATTTCCTCTATCAGCAGGCTCAGCAGGATCACCATCAATGGCCCCACAGTTCAGCTCCGCACAACAAATGACGCAGTCGGCGTCCAAGCGACGCGATCGACAGTTCGTCACCGCAGCAAAGTGGAGGGATCGACATCCACCACTTCGATAGATCAGTTTCGCCCGTGGGGCCCGCCTTCTGCAGACCACTCCGCCGTCCACAAATGACCATTCACTTGATTACGGCGGATCTTCTTCTCAGCTGAGGGGTATGACGAAGACGGCATTGCCAATGAAGGGGTTATGAGAGGTCACCGTGCGAGACACCGGATGTGCACCCTCAACTCAGCTGCCAGCTGAAGCGGCAGACATAAAAGGTTCTTCGGGGCGGGTCTGTTCGCTGTTCGTCTGGCCTTGCACAGACAGAGCGAGAGACCATCGTCACTATGCGTGCCCCAGAGACGGTCGACACCGACAACATCCAGGGGAGCATCTGGCCCCGACTGCCCAAGCACTTTGAATCCTACTTGTTTTTCAAGATCACCGACAAGGCCAAGTTCCGCAAGCACCTGCGGACCCTGCTGGACAACCATGAAATCACCACCGGCACGCAATGCGCGGACCACCTACGCGGAGTGGGAGAGTTCGAAGAGGCCTCCGCGCAAGCCCGACGCGATGTCCCCGAGCCCTATCGGGTGCCCTTCACCGCGGTGAATGTGGCCTTCACCCATCTCGGGCTGCTGAAGGTTGGCCTCAAAGCCCCCCCCGTTGCTTTCGGTTCTCTATTTCAAGGCTCTAACGTCCGAAATTCCGGGTTCTAGGTCGAGCGGCCCGAGGTGGAGGTCGAGTTTGCCAGAGTCCAACAGGAAGACCCCGACGAGTATTGCCGCGACCGGATCAATGAGGGTCTTTTCGAAAAGGGCATGTTCGATGACCTGGTCTACGAGGGCGCCGACAGCCCCCCCGCGTTACACCCCGACTTCCGGGCCCCCGAGGCCAATCTGGCCAAGGAAGACCCTCTGCAACGGTGGGACTGGCGGGTCGATGGCGTCTTCATTGTGGCGGCGCACAGTGCCAAGGCTCTCCGCCGGAAGATCGTGGACGTCGAGGATGCCTTCTACGTGGGCGATGCCAATGAAAACAGCATGAAGATCGCCTTTCGCCGCGACGGTCAAACCCGACCCGGGGCAAACCGTGGCAAGGAACAGTACGTGTCTTCGAGGAACCTCCATGACCTCAGCATAGATCAACTAACGTGCTGCCCGCAGCTTTGGCTACGAAGACCACATCTCGCAGCCCAAAATCCGCGGGCTGGATCCGACCCCGGCCCCGGGGGAGCCTCATGCCTGTCCCCCGGGGTATATCTTCCTCGGGTTTGAGGGGGACCCTAACAAAAAGCGAGGCCCGGCCTGGGCCAAGGAGGGCAGTTTCCTGGTCTTCCGGCAGTTGGACCAGAAGGTCCCCGAGTTCGAGAAGTTCCTCGAGGAGAAGGCTTCGCAGATTCCAGGCCCCAACTACGCGGGGCCTAATGGTCCGGCAAAGCTGGGTGCCCACCTGATGGGTCGATGGAAGAGCGGTACGAACTCTCCAGATCTCGATGTCAGCGTTCGATTCTCCCACCAAAGCCAGACTGATCAAGCATAGGTGCTCCCGTGGTGCACGCCTACGACGAGGATAAGCCCGAGCTGGCCTTCAACAACACGTTCGACTTCCGACCCAAGAAGAGCATCAAGAGCTGTCCATTTGCGGCGCACATCCGCAAGATGCGCCCTCGATCCGATAAGAAACGCGACGTGGGGACGGAAGAAGACGGGGATGAGACCGCCCTGCCCGAGCCCGACAGCGATGAAGAAGAGGCCGAAGGACAGGAAGAGGATGCCAGCGTCATTCTTCGACGAGGGATTACCTTTGGTCCGGAACTGACCGAAGACGAGAAGCGGCTGCGGAAGACCATCGAGCACCGCGGCATTTACTTTACCTGCTATCAGAGCCTGATCCGGGATGGATTCAATTTCCTTATGACTCGTACGTGGTCACTGCCTCAACAGCTTAACCCGAGTGACGCTATGAATGCTAACAGACACAGGCTGGGCGAGCAACGCCTCCTTCCCCGAGTACAAGACCAAGACCTTCCCCGATGGGCCGGGCATGGATCCCTTTGTCAACCAGAGGCTTCGCAAGGATCATCCCGAGGGCCACATCAGCCTGTATGACGGAGAGAACCCCAACAAGACGGTGAAACTGAACCTGGGGATCAGCCCCTGGGTGGACCAACGGGGAGGAGAGTATTTCTTTACGCCCTCGATCAGCGCGTTAAGGGAGCACTTTTCGACGGCTTGAGGGCCTTTGCCGTGTAGTTAGCTCTATAGACAAGATAATACAAGATGATACGATTTCCAAACACGGTGTTCACTGTAATGTCTTTACTTACTTGTCTTTTGCTTCTGGCCATGGATCGAGCCACGCGGGGTCGAGCCGCAGACATCTTTCATATGCCGTCTGACGGTGTCCCGCCGAGAGAGTATCTTGTGACACTTGGGGCAAAAGTAACACTCATATTCATGTTGTTGGCGATGGTGCCGTTGTAAGCCCCGGAGGAAAGTATATACTCGGCCACATGGTCCGCCATCGACCTCGATCATGCATCTCCAACCACCATCATCCACACGATAGCTCAGAGGAAGTCCATCGAATCTTGTCTGTTCTCCTTCCGGTTTCGCTTTGCCCATGATTGTGAGATGTCGGTGTTGATGAAGATTCAATTCACCCAGAGAGGAGAACGTCCGGCCACATAGTCCCCGATTGAGGGCCATCTTGCATTTCCAGAGATCGCTATCAACGAGATAATCAAAACCAAGCTCGGTCTGGCCATCTTTTGCATGGCTTATAATCGTATACGAGCCATCATGATCCACCCGATAGCTACCATGGAGGCAATTTGGTGTAGATTGCTCAGGAAGGGGATGAGCAGCGCTCTCTCGCGGAGTTGTGGGGGTTGCCATTTTTCGTGTAAGTGTTGGGTTTGGCTCAATATGTTGAGATGCTCCTACTAGTTCTCACCAGGTACAACCAGAGGTATGTGTCTATATATAATTGATTGCAATGGAAAAGAGGTCATGACAGAGGATAACAATACACAAAGCCCTTGTTCTGGGATCTTTGTTTGTAATCTACCAGCACAGCCCCACAAGGAGACTTGAAAACATTCTCTTTCCACCATCCTCTTGACGATTGACGACAGGGGGATGACAACGCAAAGTAAGTAGAATCTCCCGTACTTGCTCTTTTCCAGAACAATGGTTGCCGTAGGCTAGAATGAAGCCATCAACTCCGTCCACAGACAACAAACCGTATCCTCGCCATGGTGGGGTATAGATATGCATAGTTACAGTTAGCCGACTAAGCAAATATCATCATCTAATCGACCACGTCTTCGACAACAACCCTCCAGCAATAAACCCAACAACATCACTTGGAACCATCAACATGGGCAACTTCGAAATCCTTCCCGTCACTCTCGATAGCACCGAGAGTGGCGTCGGGCCACTTGAGACGACCCGAAGGTCGGGCGATGGGGATGCCTGGAAGGCACACTGTTTTATCCTGGTGAGCGAACTGTCTCGAGGGGGACTCACCACTGAGACCAAGCTGGTGCAGCTTGAGGTTTTGCTCAAAGCAGCGGTTGACGCGGATCTAGGGGTGTGACAGGTCTGCACCAACCCACACCTTGTTACAATTCGCTATCTTCACTACCAATCGATGATTGACTATATCTTCCATTCTTTGCTATTCTTGACCTCGGACTTTGATCTTTGTTGACTTTGAGGGTAAACTGACAACTAACTATACGGCACGGGATCTCCAATTTCCCCGTGGCCCGTGCCAAGAAGGCCGACCGCGGCGGACGGAACCCTTCCAACCACCCGCTCCGCGCTGATGATATCCCGAAAATGGGAGTACTTAAGCACTTCCACCTCCACCTCCTACCTACTCCCCAGCAGTATTGGGTAGTATCAAGCATCCAATTTCAAACAGGCCTCATCTGATCATTTGATCCAATTCATTTAGTCCTTCCCGTCTACCCAGTATCCACAGGCCTTTCACCAAAATGGCTCCTATCCACGTTGGCTGCCCACTCTTCGATTACCAGACCATTGACGTAATTGGACCCTGCGATCTGCTCAATTCGGCGAGTAAAATGCTCCTGGAGGGGATCAATTATTACGCCCCGGTCGACCCAAACCTTTTGGCCAAGGCGCCCGAGTTCGTCTTCCACCATATCGGCGAGACCATGAAGCCGGTGCACCTGCTTACGAGCTCCGTGACCGTCACGCCCACGGTGGTGGTGGACGACGTCCCTGATTTGGACATCCTCATTGTCGGGGGCGATATCCCGGCCACGACCAAGCTTCCTCCCAAACTGCAGGACCTCATTCGCCGCCATGCAGCCTCTGGAAAGTTACTGTTTACGACCTGCACCGGAGCCGCGGTGGTGGCAGCCACTGGCGCTCTAGACGGCCGAAGGGCCACCGTCAACAACCTCGAATATAACTGGATTAAGAAGCAGTACCCGAACGTTAAGTGGACAAAGGAGAAGAAGTGGATTGTGGACGGCAACATCTGGACGGGGAGTGGAGCTTTGGCGGGAATGGACATGGTCGCCCACTGGATCAAAGAGACTTATGGGCTCGACTTGCTGATTCAGGCGGCATTATCGCTGGATTACGAACCACGCGATGTGGACGGACTGTTCAATGTTCTCCCTCAGCGGTACGATTCGACCGGAAACAAGATTTCCACCCATGTCTTTCCCGACGAGGTCTGAGGGCACGCGATGCTGAACTCGAAGTGGCGCAGGTTGGAGGTCAGGGGCACGGATCACTTGTCAAAGTTCGGAGGAGCACCTGTCATACTAGAGAATGTATCCATCCGGAATAGATCGCCCCATAACTCCTCATCTTCAATCCTCTGGACTTCTGTAGCAACCGCGCTCGGTGGGCTGGGTACATCGTGAGCTGCGGCGACGTGACGCATAGAATACCGCACTGCCGGGCAGCGGTGCAGCCCTAGAGTAGAGGAGGCGCTGCGATTCCAAGGCGCAAGCTCGTGGTGTGCATGGCGGCTATTACCCCCCTGTGCGCCCTTCTCGGTTGCCAATGTATAGGATGTTCTCACACTTTCCATGATCTCCGGCAGCCGCGCAAAGAGGCTCTTGGTGGGTATTTGCCTGTCCGTCAAAGGCTTGATAGCCTGGAACTGGGACAGCAGTTGACCAATGTATTCTTGTAGATCCACAGTCTGTCGTGCGAGGTCAACGTTCCACTGGGGCACTTCCGGCAGTCCCACGGACAACCTGTACAGCACAAAGACGACCAGAACAACCTGGTACCATGTAGAAAATGGGAAGCTGCCTTGCTCCGCAACCGGAAGGGCGCAAAATATGTCGAGATAGCCTTGTGCAGAACTGACACATTCGATCAGGTTGCTGATGACCCGTGGATGTGCAGACAAGATGGTAGACGCTTTTTCTCCTTCTCGAGATGGAGGTCTTCTCTGCCCGTAGCAATACACCAATCCCATTTCTTTAATACGGATTTTGACGGCATAATAGCGATCAATCAGCAACACTGGAATTTGAAGTCAGCTAACTTGGACGTCACGAGGCCTTGAGAACAGCCTACCGTTGTTGCAAAGATCTGTTGATAGAGAAGACCACCATTCGTCTAACCATGTTGTAAATCGTTCAGCATGGATGTACAAGCGAGGGCTATGAATACCTTCTGATCGGTGAGTCTCGCAGACATCTTCAGTAAATTGTAGGACCTGCGTTATCGGATAGATCAAGTGGTCGGTCTCAAATTCTGGTTCCCGCTGCAGCAGCATCGCGCATTGAAGCATGTCCTTGTGGAATCGGAGGTTATTGGGCTTTCCCGAGGCCAATGCAATGCTGTCAGAGTAAGCTTAATACTATGCGCGCCTATCAAGATATCACATGGCATCTTACATGCTAGACATGTAATAACAGCCCAAATAAGCTCGGCATGCATCCCGAGCATAGGGATCACTCAGTTCATTTCGCTGCTCGACTATTTCGGCCGTCTCTTGGTCAAGTCGCAGATCAATGGCCATGCTGATCGCAATGTGTAGGTACTGGTATTCTTGTTGACTCCCTGGGACAAAAGAGAAATGGAACCTGGCAATAGTCAGGCTGCTAATACCCCGAACGGACGACAAAGACCAGTAGGGGCTACGGGAACTGAGATCTTACCACGCAAGGTGGACAAGTAATCCCTGGAGCAGATCTAAGTCCTTCTCGCCAGCTATGACAGTCCGCTGGCTGAGGGAATCTCTAAATTGTCGGATCAGAGCGTCTTGAAGATGGCAGTAGCTTGATGAAGCAGCGCCGAGAGCTGCAAGCAATAGGAATGGGCGACTTTTAGCCATTGATGCAGCAGTACAGGCGCTTGGGAGTCGCACAAACGGGAAGTAGGATGCCATGCCGCGGAATATGTCCAGCAGATGCTCAAGGACGACAGGACTGAGTCCTAAACTGGTCACCCACACGGGATCTATAGCAGTAGAGGCGTCCCACGGTGTTCCCATAGTATTCTGGTGTTCGCCTGGCTCCGGGCCTGTGACCATTGCAGGACTAGGAAGGACATCTTCGCTCATCCACTCGACTGCTTGGTGGGGCCTGTCACCGGGATAATTGGTCATTGCAGGCGGTCCAGAATCGTCATCAAGCGGTGTTCGGACCTCAGTAAGGGGACCACTCGAGCGCGAAAGAAGACCAATTATATTGGTGAGTTTGGTCTCAAGATCGACCAGTCGCCTCCATCCCCACCCTATTAGCCTAACTGTCCTGTTGACTGGATTGTTCTCTAGGGGCACTCACGGTTTCGCTCGTTGTAGAACTCGAGCTCGCTGTCTCGGCGCTGGAAAAACACACTGAGAGTTTGATCTGGCACATCTACCGAAATTAGCCCGGAATTGATGAAATACATGCCCAGGTAGATAGGTGACCCGTACTTAGAACAAGGCTGTCCCTCTCCGGATTGGACACATTTCACCTTGAGGACACGGCACTTTTCGCATGCAGGTGTCGCTTTCTTCCCCAGAAGAGGCGTGTGCCCCGTTATGGCGTTATTCATCATCAGCCACTCACTGTTCTGTGATTCCGTACTTGTAGCGCAGGGGATGAAGGGGCTTCAATGCGCTGAGACACAAGACACCTGGCAGAAATGTCAGCTGACAAATCAACCCTCCACCCCTCACCTTCGCCTGCGGATCATCTGGCCGCGTAGGACAACAAATGATACATACCTTATGTAAGATGTCCAACTGTAATCGGTCCCTGTACTGTCAGACCATTTCTATAGCCACTGGGTCATTTGATACCGCATCTAGAAGGCCCAAGGTCAGAATCTGCTGTCAATAAGGTTACTATTCTGGGCTGACTGGCTCGGCGGAAGAGATGGTGGAAGTTCCCAATTTTCAACCTTACAGGCTATGAATGACATACTCTGTTGTCGCCAGAGCCTTACAGCGCCATATAGATAGGGCGATTAGCCTTTGAAATAGCCGCTCTTAGTACCAAGCCGGCTTTCCTAAATTACTTTCCTATTCACATCCCAACCACCGACACTACTCTAACAACCTTCTTAGTGTTACTAAAATTCAAATGGAATGGAAAATACAATACTTTCCCCAACATGCTATAATATGGCTCGGCAACAACGAATTTAAGGCGAGAAACCCGACTGACGTGCAGTTAGTGGGTTGCGGCGGCGCTTCAGAAGCCTTGGTCTATACAGCACGGGCCCATTTAAACGCTGTCCATGCCACCTGGGTATTCCACCATCACTGCGGCAATGAATGGTTAGCCGAGGGGATTGCGAGTGCCTTGTCTCATCTGGCGCTGCAAGTCGTCCAAGTAGACGGATCATCCTTTGCCAATCAGCCCAGACAGGAGTGTGAGGCTGGTGCATCCGTGCGCAAGGTGTGGTTGTCGATGGTTAGCAACAAGAAGATGGCGCTGGCTTAGAAAAGAGGTGCATCTGTTGTGTCTGGTATTTTCCCTCTGTGTCTCGACTCAGAACAACTGATATTATACTCTTGCCTCTATTGTTCCTGTTCCAAGCCTCTGTCCACTACACCCGGTCCACCATCTGATATCACCAGCCTACATCCCACCACGACAACGACAACATGTCCAGCACAAAAAATGCTTGGTGTGCGGTCTTCAACCCCTCCTTCGACACCGTAGCCGTGTCCTTATACATACGCCGCGGCCGAATTTTACCACGATCCCCCGTCATTGATTGCGACTACTTTGTATAGGCGGTCAAAAAGAATATTTGTGCACGCACGAATTTCATCCTTGCTCGGTAAGGGGGATTCAGGAAGCGAGTTGCTGATAAAAAGCAGCGGTTCCGGGTCCCAGACCATTACGAGGGGCTTGAGGGTGGTTTGGGGGGGTGCGCTGGTGGTAAGGCAAGGAGTTGAAAGAAGAAGTTAATGGGCGGCTACGACCAAGCCAACGGGAGGGGTCATCGGTGACAACTCACGTGCTGCGCTTATCACGTGACTCGACCAGCAGCCATGCGACTGTGGCGGTGCATTGAACATTCCCAACGAAGACTCCCGCGCGCGGTATCTCTGCAATAAGTCGGCGACAATGTGTGGCTGGAGATCATCGGTAGACGGCAGATATTTTGATTCTGAGGCGCTGCTGACAATCAATTAATAAGTACACCGAGTAGAAGTAAAGGGGTTTCAGCAAAGTGGTTGTTGTGTTTTCCAACCGGTACTTATATTTGCATATCGATTGGAAAAGACCTACTTAAATACTCCAAGAGTTCCTAAGGCACCAATAGGTGGATGCCTGACGGGCCAAGGCGAGCTAACATGGTTGCTCTGAGTACCAGAAAAACATTTTAAAAAACAGCCAAGAAGGATTACGCGCCTGCAATCCGCCGTTTAGATTGGGTCCGCCCTCAGGACTCCATGAGAATCGGGACTCGATACCTTTTCATTTAACGGAAGAGTAATTTCTACCCGTTTCTCCGGTCCTGGGTGCGAGAGAAATAACCTTGGAGTTCAACTGGTCTTGGAAGACTCATCATTCAGAAATCCTACCCCACTCCTAAATCTAATCAGTATTGCATTCCAGGAATGCAGCAGTAAGTTCATATTGGATTCATTACTTCTTGCGTGGCGCTGAACAGATCGGTTCGGCTCAAGGCTGTCCGTTAAGGCTGACCCGGCTTCGAGAGAAGTAACCAGTGCATATCAGGCTTGGGAAATAGTTACCGTGGCAACCAAAGCCGCAGTGAAAGTCAAACTGATCACCCAATTGTAGGGTCTGACGACGGGGGGGACCCGCTGAGCTGCGTCCAGCCGAGGGAATGGCTACATGGGAGCCAGTGTCGACTATCGTTGATTGTGAGCTTGCAGAATGCAGTGAACTGTTCCATCCGCTTCTCCATTCTATATCCCGGAAAACACGAGTTCTCATTTTTATCTATCCAAAAGCTGCTATTACACATGATGCTAAAGCCCTCAAAACCACAAACCGCCTAACCCAGTTTTCTCACCCAAGCGTCTAGACAGGAAGCGTGTCCGGGAGCTCGGCCGTAACCACGGCTGGAACCTTGAGTGCATCGCCAATTAGCTCCACCGGCACGTATGTCTTTTCCTCCGGGGCAGTATAAGCAGGCAACTCCGGCTCCCGCCAGGGCTTCGGCGTGAAGAGCAGGATATTTTTCAGCGCCCACGCAGCCAAAGCCTGCGTCCTGGTCGCATCAATCAGACTGAGCCCCTCTGCCTTGCTGCGCATACAGACTGTCGCCATATCAATTCGCTCCACGCGCCCTGGTCCCCCATTCTGGATCGCATCCGCTGCTAGCGCCCATGCCAGCGGGTTGTACAGCATTGCCTCGTGGGAATAGATCAAACCTGCCGGCCTGAGACGCGCCTGCACCTGTACCTCGCAATTTGTTACTCCCACCTCTCGCTCATCCTTCATATACGCGGATGCCCCTGTTCCCGACTGCGGCTGCACCACCTCATCCGTCGCGGAGTAGATGGATGTAGTAGGAACATAGGCTGAGTCCCCGCCGTGGGAGCGCAGGGTGGCGATGAAGTTCGACTTGCGCGTTTGATGCCAGACTGCCGGTGTGCCGGGTTGTGCACCCTCGAACGGACAGAGAGCCCACGCACCAACCGTGCCTGCAAAATCGGCCGAGATGGCAATAAAATTGCTCACGAGGTCGCGGGTGCTGGGCCAATACTTGAGCGTCCACTGAATTGACAAGCACCCCTGCGACCAGCCTACCACAGCCACAGATCTGCCCTGACACCGTGTGGAAATGTAACGAATTGCATACGCAACATACTCCGCGTTGCGGGCCGACTCGTCGCACATCCGGCCGGGAACATTCAGCCAGACCGGGTCAGCAAAAGTGCTTTCACGCAACAGCTTGGCAAAGTTCGGAGCATAGGCTTCACCGCCGTAGGTACCTGTGCCGGGGACGAGAATAACCGACGTCTTACCGTCACGGCCGGATTGGAAGGTCGTTGGGATATACATCGCGGCTCGGAGCGATTCTTCCGGCACGGAGTAGAGCGCATCCTGCTCCGAAGTGCGGGGATAGATCCTCACTTCGAGGTCCGGATGCTTATTCTCGAATGAATTGATGTTCGGTCCCCCCAGTCCCAGCATTCTGTTCGAGAGATCGGTGCTGCACCCGCGCAAGGGGTGCCTGGACCCTAACAGAACTTTGCAGTATATGTCAAAGAAAGGAACTGGGGTGGAACTCATGTCACCCATGACTTATATTTTTCTTTTTTTATGTTTGGTTCTTCCAGCTGAGGCACTATGTGGGGTTGCGGGATGGCGCGGCTGAAGCAGTACGTACAGTACATCTGGTTTATGAACTGTTGGCTATAGATAGACGGGATTTCGGGCAGCACATCCTGTCACTAGGACCGGGAGCAAAGTCTACCTGATGTCCTCGAATGGCATCGAAACCAATAACTGAGCTGCAAGGGTTGGCCGGTGTGGCACGCTATCTGCGGTGTCGGCAAATCTTGCCCCGGGCGGCGGTGATGCCGACAAGACGAGCATCTCCATTTCCTCGTTATCGTCTTTTCGTGTGGTACGTCCACTTGATCTCCCCAAGGTCCAGAACCTCGAGCCCCACCCGCTCAGATCTGCTCTTGCTCTTGGGCATCATGTGGGGGAGAATCGCGCCCCTCTATTCGTTGCCACAATACGCCCCAGCGTTCGCTTCAGCTGGCGAGCTCCGAGCCATTCCGGTGTGGGTGAAGTGCGGGGCCAAGAGTTATAACGTGCCAACCCACTAGCTGTAATGAGACAAGCCACCTGAAAAACTTCATCGTAGCAGCACTGCAACTCCAGCCAGCCGCACAACATGTTTTGCCATCGCAACTGTGGCTGACTGACTATCGGCTCGTAATGCCACAGGCTGAGTGGTATATCTTGTTGCTGGTGTAGTCCAGCGACTTGCCTGACCAGCGTTTTGTTTTTGTGCCCCTTCGCCCAATATCTCTTTGTTCTCATTTTCGTTGCGCATCCTTTCACTTCAGGGTATGAAATAGCACGTCGTGTAAACGATGCCGTCATTTCTGAATAGGGCAACGGCTGCCGCCAGGAGTCTGTCTACTGCTCCGATCCAGAGCCCCGTCTCTCTGGATACGGTGACACAAAAGCTCGGAATATCTAACATTTCAGAGACGGTTTCGGCGTGGAGAGAAACAGAAGAGCAGGAGAATCCACCTCGTTATGCAAGTTCCTCGCCTGTCTCTGGGGGCAATAATGTCAAATTCCACGTCAACGGGTGCGCCTATTTCTGGGCGGTCTCGGAGGCCCTTTTGACAGTGAAAGAGTCGGTGTGGATTCTTGGATGTAAGAACTGCGTTCCTTCTCGTATCGGTGATTTGAAGCTGTATCAGCGAGCTTAATATCGTGGCAGGGTGGGTGTCACCCGAGGTTTATCTGAGACGCCCTCCGTCGGAAAATGAACAGTATCGGCTGGACCGCATGCTGCTGGCTGCAGCGGAGCGTGGCGTCAAAGTGAATGTCGTGGTCTTCAAGGAGGTTCCTCAGGTCATGTATCGTAAGTGATTCCTTGTCTCCAGGCTGGCTACCTGAGAGGTGAGTATACTGACGGCTATGTAGTTTCTTCCAAACACACCAAGCGTGCGCTGGAGGCTTTGCACCCGAACATCTCGGTTTTTCGATACCCCGACCTCATCCAAGGAGCGCAGGGAATCATGTCTTCCACCAAAGGGCTGCTGCAAAGTATTACCGCGGCCGGAATATCAGGCCTCGGGAAGATCTCAGATGAGACGCTCCAGACTATGTTTGGCATTGCCGGCGGACCGACACTGCTCTGGGCTCACCATGAAAAACTCGTCATCTGCGATCAGAGAGTTGCCTTTCTTGGTGGTATTGACTTGTCGTACGGGCGATGGGACACCATTCAACACCCCATCGCGGATGCCCACCCTGGGAACCTCGATGATATTGTTTTCCCCGGTCAGGACTACAATAATGCTCGAGTCATGGATTTCAAAAACTTGGATCGATGGGAGCACAACAAACTCAGTCGCTTGGCTACCTCCCGTATGGGCTGGCAAGATGTCTCGGTCAGTTTGACGGGTCCTGCTGTCGCTGAAATAAGTCGCCATTTTGTCGAGCGCTGGAACTTTATCCACAACCTGAAATACAACGCTCGTCTGCCTGGGTTTCGGGCTTACGAGGCCCTGCCACCGGCAAAGCCTCCACCCACTACGCCTGTATCGCCCGTAGGGTCAGTTTCCTGCCAGCTAGTCCGGAGTGTTGGTCGGTGGAGCAATGGAATATCGACCGAAAATAGCATCCACCACGCGTATATCGATGTTATTGAGAAAAGCGAGTATTTTGTCTATCTGGAACAACAATTCTTCATCACTTCCACTGGCACATGGCTTGGTACCGTATGGAACCGCGTGGGAGAGGCTTTGGTGGCACGAATCTTGCGCGCTGCTCGTGAAGGGAAACGGTACAAAGTGTTAGTCGTGATGCCAGCGGTCCCTGCGTTCCCGGGCGACTTGCAGAGCCTGATCTCGGGGCACCCGCCTCGCGCGATCATGAAACTTCAATACAAATCCATCAACCGGGGAGGTTTCAGTATCATAGACAAGATCAAGGGAGCCGGAGTCAATCCCGACGAGTACATTCGTTTCTACAATTTGAGGAGCTACGACCGGATCAATGAGAGTGGAGAGTTGCAGCAAGCCACCGAGGCAAGCCATGTGGACTACAACGCTGCCAGCCAGGAGCACGATGATATGGTCGACCCATTCGGTCTTCGCGCACAGAATGAGATCGGAGAATTTGAGTCCACTGAAATAACAGCCGGCCATAAAGCGTACCGTGCTTACCAGAAGGCATCCACCGGCCACAGCAGCGACTGGGATACCGTGAGCTCCTGCTACATGCTCGGTGGGGAGGACATTCGGAATGTCCCTTGGACCGCCGGAGGTTCTGTCCCGGAAATTGATGCTTTCGTTAGTGAGCAACTCTACGTCCACTCCAAGGCTCTCATAGCCGATGATCGTGTGGTCGTCTGCGGCTCGGCCAACCTGAACGACCGCTCGCTTAAGGGAGGTCGGGACTCAGAGATCGCGCTCGTCATTGAGGATCAGGCGACCTTAAACACAACAATGAACGGTCACCCATTTCAAGCTAGCAAATTCGCTGCTACTCTAAGGCGATACCTTTTCCGCAAACATCTCGGCCTCCTACTACCGCAAGACATGCGCAAGCCCGATAGCCACTTCCTGCCAGCCCCAGTACCCAACGATTACGACTACGGCTCAGCTGAAGATCAGCTTGTTGCAGACCCCCTGGCTGACGATTTTCTGAAGCTGTGGAACAGTGTTGCAAGCACAAACACCCTAGCTTTTCGGGAGGTTTTCGCGCCAATGCCGGATGATACGGCCAAGACCTGGTTTCAATACCAAAATCTCTTCTGGAAACGCTACCTCGGTCCGGATGGATTACACATGGCAAAATGGGGCCATGTTCAGAAGACTAACTTTGCCAGTGGCGAGGAAGGGGCCAGAGCAGTTAAGGAGGAGTTATCAAAGATACGAGGAACTCTGGTGGAGATGCCGTTAGAGTTTTTGATAAATACCAACATTCAGATTGAGGATCCTGGTTATAATATCATCACAAGGCAGGGGTATGTGTAGGAATGGAGTCAGTCTGTACAAGTATAAATTTCACGAACAATATGACCTTAAAGACTTTGAAATTTGTGGTTTGACCTAGAAGAATCCCTATCTGGAATTGATTACTGTATTTATGGTCTTCTATCCCACAGGCCCTGGAACACCCTACTAGGCCTAGGAATGGTGCGGTCCCGGTCCTGAAATTTGGAACCGGGACCGGACTATGTGGTCTAGAGTCTTTGCTTATATTACCTAGAACTGTACTATGGTCCTGTAACGGCCCTCGCGCGCCCTTCCAACCTTTACAAAGATATTATAAAGAAATATCACATATCAGGCCTGAGGCACCAGTCACGAAATTGCTAAACAAGACAGTTACAGAACCTATTTAAAACAGCAGCAGTCCTATAAAGTTAGAAACAGTAATAATATCTTAAAATAAACACTACTATAATTAGCTTCGTGAAAAATATTTATTTACTATAACATTTTGAAATAATCTATTAAGGTTCTTAGCTTTGTATTAATTTATTCATTTTTATAGAATATGAATCTATTCAATATTCACTGTTAAATATTGATATTTATCAAAAGAAACTTTTGAAATTTTTAAAAGCCCTACAAGAAAAATAAGACCTAAGATAAGACATATTAAGTTATATTTTAGTTAAGACACCTTGGCCGGTCTTAAGAGCTGTTAATATAAGACAAAATCAGCCTTTTTAAAACACCTTGTTTTTTTGAAAAAAAGATAATCCTAGTATCTTTAGTAGTGTACTTGACTACCGAATTGCTTCGGTTCTTGAAGGCGGCATGATTCAGAAGGTGGTGCTCACTCGCTTGCGTGACTCGCTCGGCTGACGATCACATCACACAAGATCTACCATGTGGACTTCAGCGCCGATTTCTTCTCCTGTTTAAGGTGATCGATCGACCCCACCTTCTGACCGAAAGCGATGATACAGCCAGCAATAGTGCGGTGTGGCGGGCCCACCACAGCTGAAGGATCGGCAACTCGGCAATCGACGGAGCTGACCGGCAAAACACCTTTCCAATTGCCAGCTCCCAGAAATCGTCCTTTTACGTTATCATTGGCGGCCCTCCTCTCAGCTGCGCGGGTCGACGGCCGGATTTTTCCTAGACCCGTCATTGGGCTTGCGAGATCAGCCATATTTGCCCAGCGAAGGCTGACGCTGAGAAGATCGTCGCGCACGCCACACCGCGTACATGATTTGCGGTGGGAGTTGAGAGTTTCCGATATTCGTGGATCGTGTCTGGCTTGATAGCGGGGTTGCAGTTCGTTCTAGCAAGATGGTTTATCTTTAAAAAGGTCTTGTACTTGCCCCTTCTCTAGCTGGGAACATTAACATTCATCACCTCTTCCTGGCTGTCTCGTTCCCTTTCGCCTAATCCTTCTTCTCTACTCTCCCAGACCACCTCGTCTGCTCCTCTTTGCTTTTGTCATCATGTCGTACGACGAACCTTGGTGGCAGTATGCAGATAATATCACCGTGCGGAATGGCGCGACTTTGTGTGCGGATCTCCAGGACGATGACGGCAATTATCAGCAGGCAGAGGTCAACCTCGATAACTACCTTGGCGTGTACTACGGTCGGTGATCCTATTTATATCTCTTGATGACGCTTGATGCTGATTCGGAGATACATGGGTATGGTAGGCCACATCCAATGGGGCGCTACACGTTTCACGAACTACGTGAAAGGTTTGGAGTTCCATGATGGCAATGGTGGAGAGCCATATTTCACCGTGACGGTCCCCAGGGAATTTTGGCCGGATGGCAAGCCGGATCATGTGCCCGGCCGCTGGGATGAAACGAAATTCTCGCTAGATGCGGTACACATTAAGAACGACAATGGCAGCTTCCGCATCGACGTTGGGGATGGCCCCCACGACGCCCGTGACGTGAGTTATTTGGGTTTTTCTTTCTTTTTCTTCTTTTCCATGATCTTTCCTTTTGCTTGGATTGCCTCCTCTGATGAACGAAGCTGTTCATTACCTATTCTAGAAATAAACTCACTGCTGACCCGCTTGGCGCCGAGATAGCTCCGCTCCGTGACCTTTAGCTTCGAAGTCAATGCGAACAAGTTGAGCACCTTCCAGATCACCGACTCGGATGGCGATATGCTTGAATGCCGCGGAACGATCTACCGTGGCACTCCCGGCCACTTGGAGCAAGGGTTCTGGCACACGTTCAGCTCCAGCAATGCCACGATCAACTGGAACGGCGAGAATGCGATGAACACCTCCCTGGAGTCGGGCTTCGGCACGGTGAACACGACCGAGGGCTCCTTCGACCTGAAGTTCCGGAGCGGCAACGCCGAAGACATCGTCATCCGGGGCACCTTGGATAGCACCGTTGAGAAGTGGGGCTTCGCCCGTGGGTTCGACGATAGCGTGTACAACATTGTCGCCGAGGTGAACTGGGAAGATTTACCCGGGGAACGAAGCCGCGAGCGCGCGATGCAGAGAGGACGCTGGACGGTCTATCAGGAGGCAGAGTATCGGGAGCGTAAGGGACTCCCTGAGCTCGAGGAATGGGAGATAAAGGAGTATGAAGACAAAGCGCGGGAAAAACAGAGAAACAAACGTCGTCATAGAAGCGATTATGATTAATGCTAGGGTGGCCAGTTGTGTTGGTTGGCCCTTGGGGATCCTAAGCTAGTAGTAGTTCTAGTAGTCGCTGCTATTTTTTATAAACTATTTTTCTACTTTTGTAAGGGCCTGCAAGCCCTTCCAACCTTCGCGATTGATATCGCGAAGGAATGTATATAAAAGAAGGCCTAAGGCACCAGCCATGTGACGGCTAAGCAAGGCGGCCGCAGAACCACCCAAGACAGCAGTAGTCCCGCAAAGTTAGGCAGATTAGTAATAACATCTTAAAATATAATACTACTATTTTTAGCTATTGTAATAAGCTATTTGTTTACTATACTATTTTATTTTTTAGTTCTTATAACCTTATTGCTTATACCCAGCAAAATAGTCCAGTAGATAATAGTAGAATATAAAATATAAAGCTAAACTAGAAGTAACTTTCCAGATCCAATTATAGAGAACTATATATCAGTTGTAGAAAAAAACTTCTATATAAAAAAAAAAAAGTTAAGATTCCCTGTTACGGGATGGATGGATTGTGCTAATCAAAATATGCCTTAGAATAAGAAGAAATAGCTGAGAAGCTATTTTATCTGTTTGTATAAAATTCTTTTATATGTGCGCTAAGCTAGTGCTAGTTTAGTACTTATTATATAAAATTTTAGATACTAACTAGTATCTAAAGCCAAGCTTTATAATAGGGTTTTAATTCTATAACAGAAGCCCTTTTTTTTTTTTAGTATCTTCTACAGCTTTTATTTATATAAACAGCTATTTAGAATTTAAAGTAACAGTTTTATATTTTAGCTTTTTTTAAATAATATTATAGCTGGTTAGTAGACAGTATATATATAAATAAAACCTATATTATTTATTATAGCTTTTTTTTTTATATAAACCTTTTTTATTTTGTAAATATAGTAATTTTTTAGTAAATAGAGTCTTTTCTTTTTATATATTCCTTTTTTATTTAGTAAATAAAATCTTTTTTTATATTATTAATATAACTGGTTTTAAGAATATGGTTAGGCTTAGCTACTAATATTATATAAAATATATAAAATATTATATAAAAAAACTACTCCCCCCTCTTTTTAGCTTTTTTTTTTATATATCTTTTTTTTATTCTTTTTATTACTAATTTTTTTTTATCTGTATAATTTCTGTTATTTTCTTTGTTTATTAATATTATATCTTTTTTTTCTAATACTGGGGCTGGTAAGCTTAATTATCTAAATAATATATTAATTTTTATTTATTATAATTTTTTTTAGGTTTTTTTTACTTTTACTGACTATAATTTACTTTTTTTATTTATATAATATATAATTATTTATAACCCCTATACTGGTAATACAGAGTACTGGATTACTATATAATTAATAATATATAATAATAAGGTCTTATTCTAACTTTGCTATACTTTAAATTAGTAGTATATTTAATATTCTTTTTACTATAAATTTAAAATAAAGGTTGGTGCTTTTACTGTGGTTTAAATAAAAAAATCTAATAGTATTTTTATATAAAATATTAATAAAGTTAGATATATACCAGGTGTTTTTTTTATATTAACAGCCTTTTAATTGCATTTTATAATTTAGTAATACTATATTATTATAAGTATAATAATTAAATAAAGTTTCAGCAGACTATACAGCTGTTTAAATAATAAAATAAGACTTATATAAACTATAAGTTTAAAGATTATAGTATATATTATAGCTACTATAATCTAAATAAGCTTAAATATAAGTCTATAGTAATTACTGCTTTTTTTTAAAATATTATTAAAAAATTAATAGATTAAATTAGTATATAAGCTGAATTTAGTATAGTAGTATCTAGTATTTTTATTAGATTAAATACAGCTTTTTTTAGTTAGTTTTAAAAAATTAAGAAAGGGCTTTTCTTTTTTTTTTTTCTTATTTTAGATTTATACAAACCAAAGCTGAGGGGAAAAAGTATTAGTATTAATTTTTTTTATTCCAGCTTTTATTTATTTAATGGTTAATTAGAGTTTGGCTGGGGCTGCAGCTGCTATTATATAGCTACTTTTATATTATTAAATACTAAAACTAGTTTCTAGATTAGTTTTATATAGTTTTTTATTTAATACAATACTATAATTAGCTTTTCCAGTCTTTTATTATATACTATTTATTAAAAATTTCTTTAACTTTATATTTTTCTTTACTATTAACTATTATAGGCGGTGGTTGTAAGTTTACATTAGGGTTTACATTAGGGTTTACATTAGGGTTTACATTAGGGTTTACATTAGGGTTTACATTAGGGTTTACATTAGGG